GCTGCGCCAGGGACTGAAGCGGCCGGGCGGCCGGGCCACCTCCTCGGCCGCGTGCGTCCCTGGTCATAGTGGGTGCACTTGGGCCCCAAAGTGTCGCGCTCCGCGAATAATATCGCGAATCCGAATCCACCGATCACCTCTCTCGGGAGCTGTCGCCTGAATCTTGCATTGCGAAACATTGCGGGTCCGAGCCCCGCTCTGCGTACTGCGGTGAGCCGCCATAGAGCCGGGGCCCGCTCCGCTTGCTCCGCTGAGTATGGACCCCTCGTCCTCCTCAAGTGCCCTCCCAGTCTCGTAACGTCCCTCGGCCGCTCAGCCGCTCCGCCCCACGCCCCCGGGGCGCTGCGGTCGGCCCGGCCCTCGGGAGGCGCCAAATTTGAATTCCGCGTCGGCTGTACAGTAGGGTTTTGGGCGTTTGGCAGCGATTCCTACTGTGACATTTTACCAAGCGTTACGACTGTTGCCAATCAGTCAAAGCGCTTTGCTGTTCGAGGGGGATGTTTCTTAATTAGCAAACTGCACGACTGAAAATACTGTACCACATGCATCCCTGTAAGCGGGTTGCCTAACCGAGGCCGTAAGGCGCCCTAAACTCAGAGCCGATACTCTGCAATCCGCCCAGAAATGAGCGAACAGGACAGCTTGAATGTATGCGAACTCGAAAAAAATCAGTCCAAAAATCATCGAACCGAACCAAATACGAACATGAAAAAAAAAATCCCATACGAACTAAACCAAACACGATCTTCAAAATTTTCTCTCAAACGACCAGACCAAACAGTTTTCTGCGTTCAAATTCAAGCTAACAAGCAAATCTGTACCAAATTGCCCGATCCCCCGTTTCCCCGCTTTTCCAAAAATTGCTACTATGTAAACAATATTTTAAAAACTGACTACAATTTAGATAAGTGTTGATGTCCTATCCCAAGCGGGAATAAAGGGTTTAAAACATGTCCGACGCTTTGTGCCAAAATAATTTAATTATGTTTTCATTCAAAAATCATCGGATGATGCGAACAAAAGTAAGTGGCGTCGTGGTGGCCAATGCTCACTGGCGACGCGAGTCCACCACTGCACGGAGAAAAATAATTAGTTCATCCAACTCTTACGTAGGTTGATATAGGAATCACTAACGCTGTTGGGTTGTGAGAACGAACTAATTCGTTGTCTCATCCAAGTGTTCGCTAATGCAACGCAAAATTCGTTGGAGCAGCGAACACATCGCTGAGAGAGCGAAGGCGATCGTTGATTTAACTAAAAACGCTTTCGTTCCAGCAATCAGATTTATTCACTTCGTCAACGATCTATTCGCTCTCACAACTAAGAATTCGTTCTATCAGCAAACGCTTGATTAAAACAACGGATATTTTGTTCCCACAACGAATTCTTTTTGCAAGCTCCAAATCAACTCAAACATGGGTTGAAGCAACGAATTATTTTTTTCCGTGTGGAGCGAGGCATTGGGCTGACTTGTCAAGAATTCATTTACGTTTCTCGCAGGGCGAAAACTTGGTTTGGCACGACGGTGACGCCCCAGACCTAATTGATTTCCATAGGCAAGAACATCAAAACACGAAAAACAAACCTATGTCACCATTTAGGACCGCTTACCACGTGGTGGCCTGCAAGAATGATCAAATGCGAACACTTTCACTCATCTCTAAATTTGCCACGTGATACCGCAAACAACCAAAAACGTGGGTTTTCGGCATACAGTAAGTGCTTACTCTATGGTTTCCGCCACTCCACAGTGTTGATACGTGAGTATAAACTAGGTTATCTCACGGATGATTCTTCCTTCTCATAGATAGAAGACATTCGGGAAGAATTTGGGCCACGAGCCTACTCTGGGCATGTGTGCAATTACCGCCACACTCACGTGGCTCAAAGCAACATGAGCACGATGCGACATTCGATTATATTTCGAGCTGGTTTCGACTCGCCAGGCTGCCATCCGCACCTGCCTGTGTCAGCTTTTCCTTCTTTATTCTCTCTCTCTCTCTCTCTCTCTCTCTCTCTCTCTCTCTCTCTCTCTCTCTCT